AACCCAGTTCAAATACCGCCCAGGCACAGCCAGTTGCTGCCCTACTTTGGGCCTCAAGTCACAGAAATTCTGGAAAACAGAGCAGGAGACAAGGAAGAAGAAGGACGGCTCTGCCTGACCTGATGCTCTAGTGATGTTCGTGCCTCTGGGCTGCCAGCTCACATCGTGATCAAAGAGCTCCCAGGCAGGAGCAGGGCAGCAGGGCCGAGTGGGGGTCCGCACCCAGCGCCGCAGGGCAGAAAAGCCACGCTGAGGAGTGGGACAGACCACGAAGATGCAGTTTGCAGTGTTCTCCCCGGGAACATGTCGCAGAGGAGAAGCAGCCCCACACTGTAAGCCCCCATGGGGTGAGGTATTCCCGGGGGAAGGGGCTGCAAGTGTGAAATCATTACAGCTTTGAGACACAGACATGCGGCAAAGAGCACTCAAGTGGGTGTTCACAGCACATCATTTCGTTTCAATGGCATTTACCATCAAATTGCTGAGATGGCCTTTAAAACCAGTGGGCGGGGACTGCTTCTCACTCTGAAGAAGTTCATTAGATTATAAGTAATTCAGTTACACAGAGAGCAAGTAGAACCTGGGGCTGTTTTGAGGGGCTTTTTGAAAAAGGTCAAAACAATGTATCAGATGGCTATTGGGACTGATGGCTGTTAGAGAAAAGATAGTAGATATTTAAAGATAAGCATTGTATGCTGGTGTATTTGTCTTCTGACTGCTTATTCCCATCTTTCTCACACGTAACATAGAAACATTTTGCAAAAAATGGCACTGCAAAGAAGCCTATCAACTGAGGTACTGCCAGAATTACAGGCAAAGTGAGACCCAGCTGTTTTGGAGGACAGGGGTGTCCCAATGCAGGGTTGGAAGCTCCGGCGTCTTGTGAAAGCAGCTGGATCCAGGTCTCTGCTCCCAGCTCAGCAGAGGACAGAAGCTGCTGCTTCTGCAGAGGCAAATTCTCAAACCAAACCCCAAACCCCAAGATTTTTCCTGCGGGCAGATGAAGCCACGTCTCCTCCTGAATGCCACAGCCATCACTAACCCCTCGTTTGGGAAGGTGAAGTACTGCCCTGGCTCTCCAGCCAGAACGGCTGCTGTTGAGGAGGTGGCAGGACCTTGTTTTTGGAGCCTCGCCAGCAAACTCAGCCTCTCTGCGTTAGCGTGATTAAACACTGAATTCCCTGGAAGCTTCGTGCTGATGGCAGCGGATGGTGTCCCCACCCAAGCAGTTCATCCCTGAGCACCACTGGACCGTTGCACATGTTTAAGTATTCTGCTGAACAGTAACAGACGGAGATATGCTTGGCATCTTCCTAGGCTGGGACTTCTGATGAACAAACACATTCACTAGAGTTGTAAGACACCCCCCAAAATATCCTAGAATAACAGCACTCTCGATTCCATGCTACAATCCAGGTATTCCAGAAAAGAAGATCACATATTCCAAATTCTGCATGTGCTCAACATTTATTTCAAGATACAAGATCTAAAAAATGTTGACATCCATTGCAGTCCTACACCAAAGTGAATTGGGGTGGTGAGAGCAGATTAGTTTCTCTCATACAGTAACTCTCACCCTCTGGCTTGGACCTTCAAAGAACGGCCAGATTTGCTTGGTTAAAGCTGGTTTGTAGTTTAAGCTGAGTGAAAACAGAATCTGCTCACAGCCTGATTCTGAACACTGTGGCACACTCTGGGGTCTCATTGCCTTGCATGGCACCGGCACCACCACGCCTCTCGAGCCTGTTCCCCTGACTAGTTGGCCCTGACCCTGCTTTTTGAGGCATGAGAGAAAGTATCTGGACTGCAGAACTGGTTGAGAAAAAATAACAAGCAAACCTTAACAGCCAAGATGGGTGTAGTCAAAGTGCAAGGGTTCAGGGTGTCAAAATGACCTTGGGTGCCAAGAAAAGTGCCATTCTTAGCCCACATTGCCACTGTTTGAGATGTACACGCTAGCCTCCAGTTCCACCTCTCTGCCATTCACCAGTACCTCTTTCTTTGCTGGATAACTCCCCACTCACCAGTTGAAAGGTATCTCCAAATATTTCACTAAAACATCCCTAATTAATTTTCTAAGTCCTAATCTCCATATTTACTACACTCTCAAATTATTGTAATTTCTACCTGTCACTTCTTCTCCCGCTACCTAATATTTCAAGGATTAACTGGACAGTGTGCAACCTCTTCTTATTCCTCTGTAACAATGTCTGCTCTCTGTTCCTTTGTCTTACCATTTTCTCATCTGTCTACAGATTCCTGAGCTTCTTTTCAAGGCAATATCCAAGTGTGAAGCTGCTTTAGCCATTCATGAGAATGAAATTTATTATCTCGAAGCACACCAATAACACAGTATTAAAAAAATAAAATAGCAGTCTCTTTCATCAAAATCTAATGAACATGCGATTTAATCTTTATTAAGAATTCATTAGGTTCTCAGCAAGCCTGTCTAATGGAGCCTGACCAGGTGAAATGCTAATGCCTACATTATATTTAAATTAATTTTCAGAAATGTTAATTTCCCCGAGTTGTTCCCTGCGCATTACTCTCCCCGGTGCCCGCGGCTGCTCGGGTCCCTCCAGATGCCTGCTGCCGTGCTCATAGCAACACCGCTGTCCCCACCCCAGCCTCCACTCAGTTCACTGGAGTTTCCACACTGGCAGACACCTCCCAGCTTCCGACACTATGAGCCCTTTCACCACAGCAGCCTTCTCAGCATTTTCAAGTCAGGTACAAAGCTGAAAGCCTAGCATGTGTTACTTTAAGACTGTATAATGGGGGGGAAAAAAAAAAAAAAAGTGTGTATATATATATAAAGATAAAAAATCACTATAAATGTATATATATATAAAATGGAGTATATTTCGTTCCTCAATATATTAACCTAGTCCAGCAAACAGGTTATCATCTTGATGCAATTTGCTTCAAAAAAAACAAATGGTCTGCTCTTTGGAAAACAAGAGTCACTGTACACCAATTGTGTAAGCCAGTGTGGTCACTGCCTGCCCTCCTGCCTATGGGCGCTGTGTGTATGCGCTGCTGCACTGCTATTGTGGCACCTACAGCCTCTTCTTTCAACCAAAGCCCATCGCCCGCCATTCCAGCACGCTTCTGCAGAAGCAATTCCTACAGATTAAATAATTTATTGTTGTTCATCTGCAGTAACATCTCCCCAATCCACCTTTTGCACACAAACAAATGCAAAGCAAACCCACTCCAGCCTGGCCCCAAACCATACTGTAAGGGTGGAAAACCCCCTTTCAAACCGTGAAAGGGGAAGCTCGGAGCCTTTACAGAAGTAGGGTACACAAATGGCAGTGGGAAAAGCTGCGGAGACCGCCGTGCACATCGAGATCTCCCAGTCCCGCAGTGCCTTGGGGAAAGCGTTGCCTCGGGAGGGGCTGATGGTTTAGTTCCCTGTGAAGCCCCGAGGGCTGGACACAGCAGCCACAGAGTTGATACAGAAATATCCGGGTCACCCGCTAAGCCACTCGGGCTGGAGAGGAGCGGGGCTGAAGGCCCGGATCTGCCCCCGCGGCGCCCAAACACGCACACTCACGGACACGCACACCCGCGGCGGCTACGGGAGCGTCGGGCAACAGATCGCCGCGGGGCGACGAGCCCTTTCGGCTCTTTCCGAGCCCGCTCGGCTTCTCCCCGACCACCTCCGAAGGCAGCCGAGCGCGGCGCTCGGCCGCCGCCGGGAGGAGCCGAGCGGTGCCGAAGGGGCAGCGCCGCCGGCGGTTCGAGTCCCCGCTGGGCGCTGTCCACCACGCGAACCGCCTGAACGCCGCAGCCGCGCCGGGACGGGCCCGCCGGCCGGCACAAACCCCCGCCCCGCCGCCCCCTTCCCCCCCCCCCCCCCAAAGGCACCGGCTGCTGGGACTGCGGAGCGCAGCCCGCACCCCCTCCCTGCACCCCATCCACACCCAGCTCTGCTGCCTCTCCCCCCCTCGCTAAGCAACCCTGGTGCCCGGGCGGGGGGGGGGGGGGGGGGGGGGGTCCGCAGGGACGCGGATCCCTCTGCAACCACCGGCATTGCAAAGGCGGCGGCGACCGCTCCGCGCCTCCCCCCAACCCAAATCCAGACCCCGAACCAGCGCCCGGGCTCGTTCCGTGATGGCGCCCGCCCCGAACCACCCTGTCATGCCTGTTTCGGTGGGAAGACGGGGTATTTCGTTGTATTTTAATTAAGAAAAAAAAAAAACAGGAGAGGAGAAATAAATAAAATAAATAACCCCGCCACGGGGAGAACCTCCACCCCTTCATTAGTCCTGCACCTGCTTTCCTATGGGATGCAATTACTTCAGCCACGGTGACGCGTTGGATCGGACCGCGCGGTGGGGTTTTTCACCGCGGTTTATTGCACAGGAACGTCCGATTTTAACGTTTAATTAACACAGGGAGAGGCGTGTGTGTATGGCGAGGTGCAACCCCGGGCTCTTGGAAGCCACCTTGGGCACCGTGGGGAAGCCCAGGGCAGGAGGGGGGTTTGAATTTAGTGGGTGATGGGCGGCCAAGCTCGCCTTTCGTTAATGAGAAGGTTAAAATCGCAGGAAAAGGGGCTTTGAGTGGTAGGGAGCCTCGATTTAAATCCGCAGAGCCGGCTGGTAACACCCCGACATTAAGCGTAACTGACAGCGGTCCGCTTCATGGGGACATCTGCGCGGCCTCGCCCCGCGGCGTGGGGCGTGGGGGGGGGGGGGAAGGTGGGCTTCCCACCTTCCCCCCCCCCCCACGCCCCACGCCGCGGGGCGAGGCCGCCGGCGACACTTCAGCACCACAACGGCCCTGAACAGCAGCGGGAGCGGCGGTGGCGGCGCCTTCCCCCCGCCGTTTGCCTTCCCGCCCTCACGGTCCCCTCAGGTAAACATGGCGCCCGCGGCCCTCACTCACCTCAGCGACACCCCCGCCCCGTTCTCCCTCCCATTAACGCCGTTTACTCCCCCCCCACACACACACACACACCGCCGGTTCCCCCCGCCCTCCGCGGGGCTTACTTCATTTGCTTCACGATGGTGCTTTTCCCCGACTCTCCGGCCCCTGTTGAAAAGAGAAATGAGGGAGGATAAGCGCGGGGGAGGAGGCGGGTGAGGGGACGCGAGGCCGGGCGGGGGGCGACCGGGGCCGCCAGCAGCTTCTCACCGAGCAGGAGGAGTTTCACGTCTTTGGCGGCGCTGATCCCGTCCTCCTTCAGGTTCTTCTCGATGGCCTTGCTCCGCTCCAGGGCGGCTCGTTCCTCGGCGCTCAGGGTACATCCCATGGCGGCGACGAAAATTTAAAAAAAAAAAAAATTTAAAAAAAAAAAAAAAAAAAAAAAAGGGGGGGGGGGGTAAGATGCAACCCCCGCCGCCGCCTCGGCTGGCTCCTGCGGGCAGAGAGGAGGAGGCAGGGGCAACGCCAGCCACCGGCGGGCGGAGGGGGGGGGGGGAATAAAAGAATTAAAGCTGGTGGCCGTGAGCCTCCGGGCAGCGCAGCGCCTCCGCGGCGGGGCTCCCGGCTCCCTCCTGCCCCTCTCCCCGCGCCCGAGCGCTCAGTGCATCCAGCGGGGCTGCTGCGGGCACGGCGAGCTGCTCTTCCCGGCCGGGAGGCGGAGGCGGAGGCGGGGGAGCAGAAGGAGGAGGAGGAGAAGGAGGAGGAGGAGGAGGAGGAGGAGGAAGAGGGTTCGGCGGCGGGGGGAGGGCCCTTCCCTCTCCCGTGCTGCCGGCTGTCGCGCTGTCCCCTCCTCGGCGGGCGGCGGGTCTCTAACGGGCGGCGGCGGAGCCGAATGGAGGCGCGGGAGCGGCGGCGAGAGGGCGGGGGCGCGCCGGGGCTCCGCGCTCCCGCCGGCCGCGCCCGCTCCCGTGACGCGGGAAGCTCGCGCATGCTCGCCGCGGCCCCGGTCCCGGTGCCGGCCCCCGCCCCGGCCCCGGCAGCACCGGCCGCTCTGAGCTCCGCGACCGGGCCGCCCTCATCCCCCGGGCCTGTCTCGGCGCGCAGAGCGGCCCCGGTGCCCGTCCCCCCTCGCCCCGGCTCAGCGGGAAGCCGTGCCCCGGGCTCCTGCTCCTTCCCTCGGGTCGCTCCGGGGGCTTCAGCCCGGTAACTCGGGGCCGGGGTCCGCCTTGGCCCGGCAGCGCGGGGCCGAGCGCCTCGGTGCGCGGGGCCGCGGAGGCGTTGGGGCTGGGGTCGGGCGACAGCAGCGTGTGATCGTGGGGCGCCGGGGTCCCCCGAAGGCCCGGGATGCCGTACCCCTGCCCCACGCAGCGTGGGGGGGGGGGGGGGGGGGGGGGCCGGCTCCCTGCACACCTCCTGTGCCGCGTGTGAACGGCGAGGAGCCCTTCCCCAGCTCCTCACCCTCAAATCGCTCCGATCCGCGCTTTGCGATGCAAATCGTTTACACGCTTGATGCCAGGCATCAGGTTCCAGCACCATTTTGGATTATGTTTTCCATCAGTGAAATTAACGGGGTTGGGGTTTTTGTTTGTGTTGAGGTGCAGCTGCAGACCTCACCAGATGACCTGCCTTTTTGTCATAACCATTCCATGACATCTAACAATTATTTAGGAATTCTAGCAACTTAGAATCCTGCAAATTTCCTGGCAGGTTTTGCCATTTCATCAAGGTTGGAAACAGAGAAGAAAACAAATGTCAGTGGGGAAAACAAATAAGACGTTGTTTAAAATGCTTTCCTACTGGCCCAGGCAAGTCACGATATATTAAACTTTAATCCATAACATTGATTGATATGTGACAGTCTGACTATAAAAAGACCTAGAGAGGAAAGAATGAAGTGTTGAGCGCAGCAAGCTAAAATGCATCAAACTAAAATGAACAAAATCAACGACTGCTGCCTGACATACAGAAAGGACACCCACCACTGCAAGGAACAAGAAGTCTGCAAAGGGAGGCTTGGTTGGTAGGAAGTAGATGGGAGTGACAAGGCAGCTGATTTTGCCTCCGAAGCCCACTCTAACTCACCGCCAAAAAGAAAATGGCTGTAGGAGTCTTGACAGGAACATCCTTGCGTTGTGGGAAGGAGCAGTGGGGTGGGGGCTGTGCCGGGGCTGCCTCGCAGGGGCTCGGGGAAGCCAGCGAGCTGCCGTTTGTGGTGCTGGGTCTGCATGGCCGTGTGCTCACGCTGTCGGTTTTCCACTTCAGACCTCTGTTTGTTGCCTCCCCTGGGATCTTCTGACCTGCTGTGCCGAGTTCAGCAGTTCCCTTGTCCATAACCCTTCCATCAGGAGTAGTAATGCAATTTCTAGTAGCACCTACAGTATTTTAAGCACGACTTCGGTGGTGCTTTCCTTCTAGGCAAATGTCACCTCCTTCCAGCACTGTTTCCCATCCCACCTTCCTCCCAGAACATGTTCTTCCCATTTTCCCCCCACACCACTGAAATGAAGGGGAAAAACATGGCGTGTGGTTAAAGAGGTAAAGAGGAGATGTGAGACGGAAGCAGATGAAAGAAAGAAGAAGGGAACTCATAAATTACGTTAGTATATTCAGGGATCAGTAATATTTACTGCACATTTGTGAGCTAATACATACTGAATATTTGACTTTTGGGTATTTTATTTCTGGAAGCTCAGGGGACTGAGATGGACAAGCAAGCCTACCGCATGTGTTCAACAGGGGATAAATGGAGATGGGAGCGGTTACAGAGCAGTTCCTGCTCTTTCATATTCGCGCAAAACTCTTGTGTAAAATCAATAGTATCAGAATTTCAATCAATAAGTTTAATTTCAATGGTTCTAGCCAGAGGGCATTATGAAAAGTGCCGTATAGGAAAAGCACAATCAAGAAATCCAGAGGCAGTGTCCTCATGAGATGGCTACATTTACTTCCCATCTTCTCCAGCAGCTTGCCAGCCTCGGAGTCATACTGGGACACTCTCCAAGGGTTTTACTAAGAGAATTAGTCTTTTGTATCAGTTGTATCAGCCTCTGGCTACTCGTTATCTGACAAATTTGTAGCCTGTGCCTCCTGCCACGGAGAGAAAATGATTTCTGCTTGACCAGTGCGGAGTCTGCACTCATCCCTTTGTCCCCTGTACATCCCTGTCACTACATGAATATCTGCTGATTTCTTTCTTAAGGGAAAATCAGAAATGGGCAAGCCTCCTTGCTCTCTCAGCTCTCAGGAAGATTCAGGGGACCAGCTGTGAAATTGAGCCATTTTTGAGCCATTTTTATGCTGCTGCTAATTGAGTGGAGCTGATGGAAATGTTTTCTTTGAAATTTTCTTAGAGGGAAATTTAATTTTTTGAAAAATCTGCTTATTCATGGCAGACGAATTTCAATAACCTGAAAAGAAAAAAGCCTGTCTCTCCACCAAACAATCAAAATACTTACCAGTCTACTTGGCTTTTGAGATAAATATGTTGGGTTTTGCTGCTGAAAATGATGTTTCCATTTTTCAGGATTTGACAGAAGTCCTGTTTTAATAAAAAGTGGTTGCTGGCAGTAACAACTTCAGATTAAAATAAGTTTTTTTTTTTCTTCTTAAATATGACAGAACCTCTCCATAAAAAGTGGGGATGAGAATATTTTTTTCTGGCTATTCCTGCAATTAAACGATTTCATTCAAGGTGCATAAAGAACACACTTGTTTCTGCCTGGGTTGTTATCTTTACAAACCTAAAAGTCAGCAGTGTATTTTAAACCAAAGTCCTTATTCTCCTGTATCTCTGATCTGTGCCTCAGCACAAAAAGGCTTCTTTCTGCAATCGGTTTTCAACCATTCTGCTAGAAAAATTAATCAGATAGATAGTAATTTCTTTAAGAAGTGGAGGATGGTTACAGAACTGACGGATGCCTTTGAAACAGACTGTGCCAAAGTGATGTTGTAGGATAGATACTGACTTCGTGATCTCAGGTGTGTTGTCTTCCTGTGGGTGATGAGTTGCTGTAACGATTCTCCTGGCTGCGTCCAGACTGGGGAGAGATGTGCCCTCCAGCGTATCTCACCGCCCCACGCTCTGACTGCCCACGCCAGGGGTTTGTTGAGTGCTCTGGCTTTCTTCCTAGGATCATAGAATCACAGAATGGTTTGGGTTGGAAGGGACCTTTAAAGGCCATCTGGTCCAGCTCCCCTGCCATGAGCAGGAACATCTTCCACTCGCTCAGGTTGCTCAGAGCCCCGTCCAACCTGAGCTCAAATGTTTCCAGGGATGGGGCATCTACGACCTCTCTGGGCAACCTGTGCCAGTGTCTCACCACCCTCACCATAAAAAATTACTTCCTTGTATCTAGTCTGAGTCTACCCTTTTCTACCTTAAAACCATTACCCCTTGTCCTATTGCAACAAGGCCTGCTAAAAAGTCCCTGTCTTTCTTACAAACCCCCTTTAAGCCCTGGGAGGCCACTCAAAGGTCTCCCCGGAGCCTTCTCTTCTCCAGGCTGAACCCCCCCAACTCTCTCAGCCCGGCCTCCCAGGGGAGCTGCTCCAGCCCCCCCAGCATCTTCGTGGCCTCCTCTGGCCCCGCTCGAGCAGCTCCTTGTCCTTCTTGTGCTGAGGACTCCAGAGCTGGACACAGCACTGCAGGGGGGGGGTCTCAGGAGAGCAGAGGGCGAGAATCCCCCTCCCTCAACCTGCTGGCCACACTTCTCTTGATGCAGTCCAGGATACAGTTGGCTTTTCTTCCAGCCCAGGCATCTTGTTTTCTTTCACAGAAGAACGTAGGAGGAGGTGTGATGAGGTGGGAGCCAGGGAGCACCTCTGGACCCAGGGCTTAGGAAGCCCATCTGGGTCTCACAGTCCAGACACGGCCTCGGGGAGCCGTTGCAAACTGTCAAAGTTGCCACCAATGCCAGCATGTGTTCTTGGATGCCACCAGTGCATGCCTCACGGATTGCCACGAGGTAGTAAAACAGGGTGGGAAAACTATCTAGTGGGTCTCAAGATGAATCTCTAACTTAAAGTCTCACAGCTACGGCAACACTCCCACCACCACAACTGAAGTTGCAATAATATTGGAGGGAACATCACATGAGATCCCGTCCCCATATTTAGTTGATACTGCTGATTCAACATGTCCTCAGTGAACTGGTGGGTGGTTTGAAGGGAGAGTGGGGCAAATCCAGGATGACATGACCACAGGAGGCAAGCTGCAATACTTTGCAACTTGTCTTTCCCCTCCTACTTCAGGATTGTTCTGTCCAATCTATAATCTTATATTCCTTTAGTATGGTTTTAATGCACATGCTAATGGAATGGCCACCAATCCCATGGAGAGACAGCAATGCATTCTAGCAGATCTCACCATTAGGAAGTTTTCCCCGGATATTCAGCCTAATTTTTCATTCTTTAAATTGATGTCAATTACCCCCCAGCTAAACCTAGTTATGCAGTGGAAGGCAGGTTTAAAATACTGAATGATCTCACTAAATTGGAGAAATGGACAGAAATCAATACAATGAGAGGCAGTAAGAACGCCCATAAAGGTTAAGTGGTTGATGGAGGAAGGATTAATGAAATGCACGGATACTAGGTCAAATTGCAAATATCCTTACTTCACTCTTATTCATTGCATACCCCACAAATATGTTGTACTCCAGCAAATCAAATGAGGAGGTACCTCAGAATCACTAGTGACTCGGAGAAGCAGAGACCAGTATTAAGGGAAAAGAAGGTGTGGGATGGGTTTATTGTATGTAAAATTGGCCTCAAAAAAACAAAAAAAAAACACCAACAAAATGACCTGTGGATAAGAATACGATCTGCAGTATATTTGGCATCAAGACAGCCTGACCAAGGTTAGAGAAATGCTGAAAATCCTATGTTTGTTGTTAGTTTTTCATGTCTATCTAGGTGACTGATGATAACTACAGGACCTGTGAGT